CAAACTTGCCATTCATGGAGATGCATTAAATGAAAAAAGTGTTGCAGAAAACAAAAGTCGATCGTCCTTTTAAAAAGAAAATACCATATTTGACTTTGGCTCAAATGCTTTTACTCATGCTCAATTTCAGCCCGAATTCGACTCGATATCCACCCAAGAAAGCTGATCAGATCAAAACTGATCCAACAAACAACTCACATAGAATATAAGAAGCGTGAACACCGAATGTGGAAGTTGGATATACTCTCTATTTATAACATAAGATGGGTGATGCTTCATTTCCGAGCTCCGGTGTGGGAACAAAATAATCAATCAAAAAAATAAAAAAATAAACAAATGAAGAGAACGGTGTGGGAAGTGACCGTACAACTATGGGGAAGTGATAAAATACCTTCATAGAGTAATTCAACGATTGAGGCAGAAGAGAATGATAATGGAGGTAATGAGTTCATATCGTGGGAGGAGCTGCCTGGAAGGGCAGGTGATGTAAGTCATAGATTCATCATTTGGAGCAAGTAATGATTGCGATCAAACTCAAATTTGCATAGCTAGGGGCTTTGGAAGGTCATTCATAGACTCCAAAATTATGGGGGGTGTAAGAGCATCTCTAGTGATTCATTTGAAGGACTTGTTTGCAATTTTAAAGCTAATAGCTTAGAACTGGAACATTGATTTTCTTTTTGCTTGAGAAAGATAATTAGGCAAAATGACGTTCTAGGTTGAGGAATGAGAACTATTAAATATAACATTATTAATAATGAATTAATAATAAATAAAGAGGAAAAAATTATAGCTTATCATTGGAGTACATTTTAATTTTGATATAAATGCTTATGTCACTGGTCAAGGTATAAGTGCAGTTAGCTAATCGTTGGAGATGCTCTAAGCCCAAACACATGAATTATAAAAACAATAGTATTATCATAGTGTGACATCTCTTTTTGTTTTTGACACCATCATAGTGTGACATCTCTAATGTGATTTATGTCTTAATTGTGATATGAAAGCATAAGATATACTCCCTTACGTGTATAGTATATTAATTGAATCTCACATTGTCTCACATGTATACTTTTGTTGGTGAAAGTAATTACTTCCTTTTTTTATTTAAATTGTCTCTTTTTTTCTTTTTTACATTGTCCATGTGTCATACTCCGTATCAAACTTGATAATATTTATGTAATTACAAATCGTTCTTGTTGTATTCTTGTTTTATCAATTGAATATCAACAGTGTAATTTTATTTTCTTTGATAATCACACCACCACATTTTGTACCAATGCAATATTAGGGGATAGGGTAATGATATACAAGCACCTTAATTAAGCCTAACAGGAAGACGACCTCGAAGCATTACGCTTCGTGGTATAGGGATGGGTCGGTGAAACTGTAAACTGAAAACGGAATTGAAAAAACCAGAACTGCAATCAAAACAACTGAACCGCAAGAAAACCGAAATCGAACACCACAAACCGAACCGAATCGTAGTTGTTTGCTTTCGATTTTGATTTTCACGTCTCAAAACCGAACCGCACAAACAAAACTTTTTAAAACTTGCTATTTTATTTATTTATTTATCATTAAATATAATATTTTGTTTAGTTCTTAAATCTCAATTCTAGAAAATTAATGTTTGATACAAGATTTATTAAATTTTCAAGATATTGACATTTGATATTTATGGTTTAATTAAGTGAAACACTTGTACATACACTTAAGTCTATTGCTATAATCTTAACATCTTGATATTTTAAATCGTAATTTACCTTTTTCTTATTGCTACATGATAATGATATTTTGCTGATATATTATTTGTTAAGTGTGTTTGTGATCACATGATTTTTTATATTGAACAAATATGTATTAATATAACTATACTTTAAATAATATAGCAAAAAACGTGAAACTTTATAGCATACATATCTTTGTCTAAAAAGAAAGTAGAATAAATTATTTACAATCAATAAAAGTCTTTTAGTAAAAAGGGAATGAATTAGTGGACACAACATTTGCAAATAAAATTTTAACTTGCGAATAAACTATATATAATTTGCAAATACACTTATGCTTTTAATTAATTTAGAAAATGCTTAAATTGATATACACTTTCTAATTCATTGCTTGGAAGTGCATTTGTTTCTTCTCTCTTTTTTTATTATGTTTTTGTATTGTACCACGTATTACTATTAAGTATAGATTGATGTAGTTTTTTGTTTGTTTTTGTTTATCAATTACTATTTTTTAATTAAAAAAATATTTTGAAAAAACCGAAAAAACAATGATATAGCGCCTAGCGGAACTTGCAATTGATTTCGAGTAGCCTTTTAAAAGTACTGGTTGCAAAATTGTCAAAATATTATCATCTTCACGAAGACATGTTTCTTTTTCTTTTTAGGTTCTTGAGAATAGCGGTGTTTGTTACTCAACTACTCATTATTTAATTCATGCAATATGAGATACATGCAATTCAAAATGTCAAATAAACATGTTACTGAGTGGTGGTTCATCAGCAATTTTTTGGCACATCATTTTTTTTTTTGCAAACATTTGGCACATCAATTTTAATACAATATTTTTTGAACTTTATAAGACAATTTTTAATTTTATCTACAATAATTATTTTACTCTGTATCATATATCCAATAAATTAGTTTAGATGTTTTTAATTGTACTAAAAAATTTCTGATTTGATCCGGTCTGGTCAGTTTAGGTTTTGTCTAAAATGGTCTTGTTTGTTAAAGTAAATATCTGGTCTATGTGTATTTTATAACTATTGAAATCTTGGTCTGGTCCGTTTAAATTTGATCTAGCATGACCTGTTTAAGTATGATCTCATATCTTCTGGTCTAGTGTGGGATTGACATAAGTTCAAGTAAAAACTCCTTACTAGCGTATCAACGTTCTGTTGCCAAATTTTGACATTAACATTAATAATTTAATAATTAAAATTTAAGAAACTAGGTTAAAATGGTTTATTTGATCACAAAAGAAATGTGAATATAAAAATATTCGTACGTTATTATTTATTGTCAGTTACGTTAACCATATGCACAAATCCATTAGAGAACCAAAAGTTAGGAACGTTTTAGGACTAAGGATATTTTTAGTTGGATTGAATTTTTCAATTCAGATCTAGTCTGATCTTATCTAGTTTGATCTGAACTAGCATGGTGAGTTTATATTTAATGTGTACGTTACAATTGTCGAAGGATTTCCTGATTGATCTAGTTTGATCTAGTTTGTGACTTCAATAAGTTCAATTAAAAATATCTTAAAATCCCTTCAGTTAACTTGACAAGAAATACCTTAAATAGGACTAAAATAGTGCAAATTTTCTCACATATGAGTTACACTTTATTGTTGTCAAAATAGAATTTATACTCATATTTAATGAAGTTTTATATCTTTTACGTAGTATTGTTTTAAAAAGACAAAACTAATCTTATTTTAGGAAGCGTTATCTAAAATATCATAAAATACTAGTATGTTTTTAGAAAATATCCATTGATTAAAATATCATATCTAAAACCCACTACCCCAATAAAAGTGTTTTCCTTTATTTAGAAAAATACTACTCTGTCCCATTTTATGTGTCCTGGTTTGGTTTGCATAATTATTAATTATCTGATTGAAAAAAATGTGGTTCACTTTAAATGTAAGGGATAATTTGAGTTTGCAACCCATTTTATTGTGCAAATTGGACTTTGCACCCTATTTTTAAAAATCTTTGTTTTTGCATCTCAACCCCATATGAAAAGATAAAAGTGCCCATCCACTAACAATTTTGTTGACCTTCAACATATTCTTGATCGAGGGCATTTTTGTCTTTTCATATGGGGTTGGGGTGCAAAAACAAATATTTTTAAAAAAAGGGTAATTCAAACGGGGTATAATTCATGTATAATACACTCAAACGTATAATTCACGTATAATACTTCCGTTTATGAATTTTTCAGAAAATACTTAAAAATTCACGTACTTTAAGGATAAAATGTATAATACATGTACCGTACGTATTGATATGTATTTTATTTAAAAATATCATTAAACTGAAGCCTAATGGAGTGATACAACTGAAGTGAAATGTTTAGCTGCTCAATACTATTTATAATGCTTAAAAAACTATTATGTCTTATACGTTCGTTAATTGTTTAATGGTCATCAGTTTTAATAAATTAGCTTCTTAAATTCATAATTCGTTTTTATATTACTATTGTTACTCTTATTCTCCACTCATACCAAAAAAGAAAAGAATATTATGAAGACTCACCAAATTTACGGTCACAATAATATTAACTATTCTCTAGAAATATTTCTCTACTTCTACACAAATAGGCAATATCATTTTTATTATTTATTGTACTATGAATTAAAATTCGTATATCTGAAAAAACTATTCCGTACATTTTAAACGGTTGAAGAATGTAATGCATATGCTAAATTACTCTTTATTCTCATCATTAAATTAGTATATAAGACACGTATTATATGCCGTATTTTTAAATTGTGAAACGTTTAAAACACGTTCGTATCTTTATTCATTTCACGAACGTATGAAACATATATTTAGCCGTATTTTATATAATTGTATCGTACTATACATGAACGTACGTATTATTGTATTATTCACGAACCGTATAATACTAACAAAGATAACAACAACTTTTAGTGAACTGTTTCTTGATTGAAAAGGCATCTCCATCTGTTTTTTGCAGCTGGGCAAGCTTCTTTTCTGAAATAACAACAATTTTACATCATTATCCCTATTTAGTAAGTGATTTCTTGCTACAATAAAATGAAAAAACAATGTTTAACTAGGTTTCACAAACGCCCCCTATTTCAGTGATACAATTACACCTATTTTGGTGACTGACAGCTCATTTAAACTCCTTTTCCTGGAAATGAAACACACAAATGTATGTGTGTGTACTGTGAATGGACAATGCAAGATGCCTTCCTATAAATAGCCATTCTAACATACATTTTCATCATCCATTCCTGCAGTTTGCCCCTAAATTGTTTTCTGCCCAAAATGCAAAACATGTGGTCTTTGATAAATGAGTTTGATCAAGGAAAGACTTCCTGGACATTCAAAGCTAGAGCAGTACGTGTTGATGCAACCCCAACCTATGGGATACATGGTGAATCACTGCAGTGCATTTTCCAAGACCGAGAGGTACTTTTTACTTTTAAGTTTGATTTATGAAAGATGCATACATTTTATTAACTAACAACTTTCTGCACAGGGAACAAGAATTCATGCACATATTGGTAAATCCCAAGTTGCAAAGTTCCAGTCCCTGTTTAAGGAAGGCGATGTTTATGCAATAAGTCATGTTTTGGTTCAAGACAACTACATGAATTTCAAGACAACGAGGAATGTTTTCAAGTTGTTATTCCTTAACAAAACTGAAGCTTTTAAGATTTCAAACATCAATTTCCCAATGAGAGTGTTTGACTTCACAACTATTGTTGCCTTGCAAAATATGGAAGTTGTTGATGAAACACATGCTATAGGTGATGATTTTTATAAACAAACTTTTTTTGAATTAAATGTTTAATTGAAGAACATAATTATAATTATTGCTTTTAGATGTGATTGGCAAGGTTACATCCCTGTCAAACCCTAAGTCTCTAACAAAGAACGGTAGACAAACTCAGTTGGTTGATCTGACCCTTGGGGATGCACTGTAAGGTTTTAAACTAGTTGATATTCAAAGTTTGTGGTGAGTTTGAGATCTGAAATTCACACCACATTTTGTAGTGGAAATGCTATCACTTTCACTCTTTGGGAGGACTTGGTAGATCAGTTGTTAGATTTTCTGAAGACCAAACCTAAGTCTATCATTCTTATTCTTCAACTATGTCGTGCAAGAAAATTCCAGGGTATGATGAAACTTAATCTTATTTCCAGTTTGTTATTCATGCTTAACAGTGTAAACTTATAGGTCGTGTGAGTGTGACAAACATGTTCAATGTAACCAAGATGCTACTGAACAGTGACAGTGAGGAGTGTGTGGAGTTCAAATCCAAGTAAGCAATACTTAAATTCTTAAATAGCCTAAACCACACTTTATGGATAGTTGTTTAATTAACTGTTATCCTAAATGACTTAGGTTTGGGCCAGACAATGATGATGATGGGGCTGGACTAGCCTTGGGTAGTTTTGTGACTCCTACAGTTCAAGATGACCTATCAAGCGGGAATGTTAAGTAGGTTTCGATTGATGATCTAATGAAAATGAAAGAGGTTTGGATATAGTATATCTTTAAGTTATAAATAAATACATGATTTATCTATAATATATATTTAAACCAGATTTACTATGTAATTATAAATATAGGAAGGCAAGTACTGGGTTTATGGAGAAATATTGGCAATTGATAGTTATCGGGACTGGTATTAAATATCCTGCAAGGAGTGCAGTAGAAAAGTTTTACCTGAAGGGGATACTTTTTGGTGTGGTGTGTGCAACACAACAGAGGTGGTTCTAAGGTTAGCATATTTTCTAATGATTTTTTAGACTCACAGTGACCAATACATTCTAAAGCCTTGGATAATTTCAGGTACAAAGTGAATGTGAGGGTGATGGATGACACTGGTCATGCATCTTTGGTGTTTTGGGACAAAGAATGCAGTGTTTTGGTGGGAAAGACAGCAAATACTCTTCGCGAAGAGATTGAACAGGTTTATTGAAAGATACATTTCATGATATAATTTTTATATGTAATTAATTTCTAGAGTTTAATGTTTTTAAGATGGTGATTAAGGTGTAGGTCCTTACTACCTTCTTGTTGAGATTGATAGCTTGGTTGAGATTAAGGGATTGTTTCGAGTTCAAACAAAGAGGAAAATCATAAGCTACAGGGGTGTACCAACATTTAGTGTGATTGGAATGAATTGTGATCCTAAAGTTCTGTCTTTATATGAGAATAAAGGAAAAGCAATGGAGGAAGAAGATGATTTCACTCTTCTCAAAAAGGAGTTTTCTGTACCTGAAGAAGTATGTTTACCTCCTTATCAGTTTGTTTTGAAGCAACCTTTTTTATTTTATATGTAATATTTCACTTAAAACTTAAACTAAAAACTTATAACTTAGTATTTAAGAGTGTTTAGTATTTAATACTTATTAAACTTTAAACTTTTGGTTCCTAAAGTTTTTTATTTCATTAAGGTCATCACATCAAATGTGGAGGAGTCCAACCCCCTGCTGACAAAACAGAAAAGGAAGACACTGGTGGTAAATTGTAGTGGCATACAAAAAAGGCTGTTGTGGAGCATCCAGGTGTTGAAGGCACTGAAGAAGTTGAAGAAAGTGAAAGTGGAGAAGTAGGGGGTTTTCTGTTTAAACTGAACCACAGTATATGTGCTTCAGTTTTTTTGGGTTTTTTTTTTCAACCTGGATTATCATCTTAGGGAAAAGATTAGGTTATGATATATGATAACCGCTTTCGCGGCGTTGTAGTAAAACGGAGTCTAACCTTTCGATTTTTCCCCAAGTATCGTGTCTTTTGAGGAATGACGAAGGAGTTTCTTGATTTTAAGCCCAGTCACAGGTTATCGCAAATTATTAGAAGCTTTCCAAATTAAAACTTTTGATTGGTTTTCTAAACTAGTTTTTTTTAATAAAGTAATTTAAATTATGTATATACTAATGATGGATAAAAAAACTAAATGGAAAATATTAAACTCTGAATGGATTGATCAAAGAAGGGTAGTAAAATATTCTCATGGAAATATTGATGGATACCATCGAAATATTAAAAACTAAATGGAAAATATTCTTCGACCTAGTAATTAGGGGAATTAAAACAAAAATTGGACTAATAATTTCTTTTCTCATAGATAGGGATGGATTCGGGCCGGGTCGGGCCCGGGCCGGGTCTAGGCCCGGTCGGGCCGCCGGTTCTAGAATAGTGGGCCCGGGACCAGCCCGAGGGTTGGACGGGTCCGGTTCGGGCCGGGCCACCCGCCCGGGTCACGGGTCGGGCCACCCGCCGGGTCGGGCCGGGTCGGGCCGGGTAATTTTTTTTATTTATTTATATTTTATACTTTATAGTTTTATACAAGTATTAAAAAACAAACTTCAAGTGCATTTATTTGAAATGAAATAGGAACTACATTTGAAAATTAAATAGGAACTATAATTGTTTTTAATCGGAATCTCCGGCATAAGTAGAGCCACCCTCTGTAGATTCATCCATAAAGTGTTGGGATGGAGTGATGTCAATTTCTTGAGCTCTACGTGCTGCTATCAACCAATCGTGGTAGCATATAAGCATCTCAAGAGATTCAGCGCTCAACCTCGTTCTGGTTTGTGTTAGAACATTGCCGGCCGAACTAAATTCTTGTTCCACGGCAACCGTTGAAACCGGCATTGATAGCACTTGCTTAGCCATCTTTGCTAAAACCGGGAACATTCTTTCTTTTCCCTTCCACCAGTTTAGTACGTCAAAATCATCATCTTCTTCAAAATCAACATCATAAGTTAAATACAAAGAAATCTCATTAATTGTGCTTTGTTGTGTAGCGGGAGTTGATTTTGTTTTTTTAATAAGATTGGCAAACGTAGATTTGAAAATTGATTTTCCTTTAGATGATGTTTGTGTCGGGGGAGGGGGCGCATTGCCATATTGTGCATGAAACTCATTGAATAATGCATAATTTTTTAAACTAGAGTCAAATGTAGCAATTAATAAAAAATTGTAAAAAACTAATTAACTATTTATCTAACTATTAATTCGAGTTATAGCAAATTAAGTAGTGAATTAACTAGTTTTGTGTACAACATATTTTTTAAACTAGAGTCAAATGTAGCAATTAATAAAAAATTGTAAAAAACTAATTAACTATTTATCTAACTATTAATTCGAGTTATAGCAAATTAAGTAGTGAATTAACTAGTTTTGTGTACAACATATTTTTTAAACTAGAGTCAAATGTAGCAATTAATAAAAAATTGTAAAAAACTAATTAACTATTTATCTAACTATTAATTCGAGTTATAGCAAATTAAGTAGTGAATTAACTAATTTTGTGTACAACATATTTTTTAAACTAATTAAACAAGTGTAAATAATAGAATAATTTCGTACCTCTTTCGGACTTTCGGTCTTTCGGATGGGAGTAATAGAATGACTTCAAATTAATTAGATATAATTCCAACTATATTAATAGATATAATAAATATATAAGTAATATATAATTAGATAACAAATATAAGTAATATAATACTATTTATATCTATTTATAGTTTATATAAGTAGATAATTAATATAAAATTATAAACTATAAATAATAAATATAATATATTGGAGAATGGAGAATAAGAGAATTAGAGAGTAGAGAGTTAAGAATAGGATTTAGGAAGAATTGGAGAAGAGATATGAAAAAATGTTTAAGATTAGGAGTATTTATAGGTTTTTTTACCCCCCACCCCACCCCCCACCAACCAACCCCCCCGGACCCCCCCTTTACCCCACCCAACGGCTATATAGCCGTTTGGGTTGTCCCCAGCCCCACCCCCAACGGCTAGTAGGAGCCCAACTAAAAAAATTTTTTTTTTTTAAATTGAACCGGACCCGGGCCCGGGCTCGACCCGGCCGGGCCGGGTCACACAAATGCTGAACCGAGCCCGCCCCGCCCCTTCCCCCCGGTTCGGGCCCAGACCCGGTCCCGGACCGCCCGACCGGGCCGGTCCCGGGCCCGCACAGTACCGGGCCGGGCCGGGTGGCCCGAACCGAATCCAACACTACTCATAGACAAGAATAGAAATTATTTTCATTAATTTATCCTATTTCTAGGTTTCATCAATGTATTCAAAAATGGTTGGCTTGAATCAAATTCTAATCTCATAGACAAGACAGAAATAATTCTCCAATATTTTGTTCAATAAAAATAGCCAAATTCATTAACTAATTTAACTTATTAATTAAGCAATTTGAATTTAATTCTCATAGACAAGATGTAAATCCAATTCATTAAAATTTCCTATTTCTAGTCCTTATTAACCAACAATTATTAATTACTATTTCATCATTTTTGAATAACTAGTCCAATTAATTAATTTTAACCCCTAATTTTCGGCTAACAAGTCAATCCATATTCCTTTAATTCAATTCATGCCCAAGAGTAAATTAACTACAACAACTCATTACTAATTTTAACATTTTACATATAAAATAAGACATGATCATAAATAATAACAACACAAGAAAATATTACAGTGAATACTCCCAACATCTAAGCATTCGTTTCTTTCACAAATAAACATTATTTATACTAAGTATTGAGGTTGTCTAAGTAGGAGATTAATATAACAACAAAATCTAATTTTCTTGAATTAAAATGGAAAACACGAAACTATTAAAATTAATTCAGAGAATTTTTCACAAATATTCGTGAAATAAAAACAATAAATTCAGAATCTACACGACGAGAGGATGAATTTTCATATAAAGAACTTACAAATTGGAGCTAAAATGAAAAAGATATGAAAGATTGAAGTTGGAGGTGCAACAATGGTGGAAATTCGAGCTTTGAAGCGGAAGAATAAGACCTTTTTGAACTAGTTTCGGGCTAAGAATGGTGTGTTTGAGTTCAGAAAAAATCGGGCTATTTATAGGACAAAAAATCACGTAGGCGGCCAACCAGGCGGCCGCCTCTGGCCTTGTCCCGGCCGCCTTCCGTCCCATCACCGGCAGTCGAACGTGCGCCGGTCTTGTCATCCGCCGCAGGCGGTCCAGCAGGCGGCCGCCTGCCGTTCCTGTCTGGCCACCTGCCGTCAAATCCCACCGGCCGGTGGTTGGTTTGTCACCTTGTGCCGCAGGCGGCCGCCTTCCGTCCAGTGTCGGCAGCCTTCGGTCCGGTCCGGTCAAAAATTTCAAAAATGCTAAATTTCTAAAAATAGCGTAGGCGGCCTGGTAGGCGGTCAATCTGGGCACCTATTTGGGCGCCTGTGAGATTTTTTTTCCATCTTGTTCTGTATTTTGTGCTCATCAACTTTCTCTTCTGGACCACTTTGAATTTATGCTTCCTTCTTTCGGTATGATATCATTTTTCACTCAAATTGACTCATTGTGTGCTTTAATTGACCCGAAATTTCGTCAAACATATCATGGACGTGATTTTTTACCTGATTTCACGAAACTTGAACCAAAATATATAAAACATGCCTTGTTTTTCTATTTTTCAATCCAAAATCACTTAAATTTGATAAGAAAAATAAGTACAAAAATGGACTTATCAATATAAACTTGGGATGTTGATTACTTGATGGGTAATCCATTTTGTTCCCAAGTTTGTAAGGAATGGCATTTGATGCTAGGTATAATGTAACCTTTTCTTAATATAATGGTATCTCAACATTTGATGGGTAATCCATTTTGCTCCCAAGTTTGTTTTGTACCACTGTGTTTGAGATAACTAATGATATTAGATCATTGTTGTTAATTGTATGTTTTCAAAATTGTTAAATATATTAGATAACTCAAGGAGCAATAGATTGCAACCTTTTTCTCATGGTTAAGGCAAATATGGAAAGGTAGTTGTAAATTTTTAATGGGAAATGTTATTTCTTTGACAAAGATTTCAAAAATGAGTCACTTATGTATACAGCTATTCAGTTTAAAACAGTCCCTCTTATATTTAATTTTTGGTGTTATTTTGAGTAAAACTGAGGTGGTTTTTACCTAACTCAACTTTCCATTTGTATTTGGAATTGATTGGTATACCGTGCCATGATTTCCATGTTTGACGACCTGAAAAAAATGATGTTAGCAGCCAAAAATAAACCAAATTGAACTGTATACATAATTAGAGTTATGTGTATGCAATTTGGTATATAATATGATGTAAAGTTAGCTGAGTACATGAGACTCACCAAAAAAATTTATGTCCTCATTTTAAAGATAACTAAATCCAGAATAAGAGGGTTATTCTTTGAAAAACAGATGTCTACCATATTTACAGTACAAATTTTTACATCACCCTTATTCACAAAACCCTATTTAGATCATTGTTGTGAATTGTATGTTTCAAAATCAGTTAAATATTTATTCAAGGAGCAAGGGATTGCAACCTTTTTCTCATTTCAGAAAACCGGTATATCCATGGGAGTAACACAGTTTGAAAGTCATAAAACAAACTATAAAAAACTATAAAAAATCCAAAAGTTTTAAAACCAAATCTGATTTTACCTTATTAAATTACTGCTGCCTTGGGTGTTCATCCCAGTTGAATATCTTAATGTTTGTTTGCCATCCAAATCTGAAAATCACATTTATATTGTAGACTTATTGAATTAAAGATTAATGAATACGCATAAATTCAATATGTGAATCACAAATATGTTATCCTTTTCAAAGAATCTGATCGCTTGATGTATAAGGTGGTGCAAAAATATTAAGTTCTAGTCATTTGGAATTACTATTATTACTGTCTTTATAAACAATATATTACATAATTGCTATAGATGTTTTAGATGTATTTAAAATTAAATT